GAAGCGCCGTGTACGGCGAATCCATCGCGCTATATTCGCTTTATATACAATCGTGTAATACTGGAAGCAACACAGGTACTTTTCTCGTTTTGATATCATGATTATCTTGCTACTGCTAGTGATGGATTTGCATTATCTTTATCAAACAAGAAATACCAAGAAATCGAAAATCGCCACAGCAATCAAATTGCATGTCCTATGTTAGTGATGTTACTGGGATGCTTCCATACGGCGGGATGCAGCTATGCCTTGGTAGGACCTATGTTGATCCGTTCAGAGGACGAAACAAACACGAGGATCGTCGGCAGGCTAACCAACATATGTAGACAACTGGTTGTCATTCTCGTAGCTGGAAGACTGTCAGCTGACTCAAGTATAAGTTAGAGAACATATGGCTTCACTTTTTATTAAATTTTCTACGCTACATAGATCCTACTTTGTCGCCATTTTCTTACTCCTTTAATCTGTCCTAATAACTGCCATCGATATAAAGAAAATTTATGAATATGTATCGATAATAAATATTGTCCATACATATTTTAAACAGAGATAACTTACCCCAACCATAGTCGCACTAACGCGGATTGATTGTGATACTGATAAGGAATGTATACGACTTAATGGACCAGAACATTCTTTTTCAGTACTTGCTTTCCTTTCATTATTTGGATTAACTCGATTACCCTTTATTCCCTATGCAATAATATTTAATAGCTATTATGGTAGCTATGAAAATATCGCTAGTAAAACTTAGGCTGATGAACCATGTTAATAGCCAGGGGGAAAGAATAGCTAGGGCGAAAGAAATTTTAGCTGTTTCTGGAAAAACGAAGAAAAACAAGACAGGTTTTATGCTACGATGAAACGGCAGTAGCGAGTCAAACTGTTTAATGTAGTTTTGTGAGAGGGAAAATTCTGGAACTTAGACTGCTTCGGTGTTGTAGGTTCGTGCAGCGGCAGTAACTGCACTGGCAAAGTTTGGTGCCCAGTGCCCCGATCTTCGCCCGTCCATTCGAGTGCTGCTGAAGCGATGTTTGCTCGATACGGACGATGAAGTGCGCGACCGAGCAACGTATTATCTCTCAGTACTGGAAACAGAGGATCCTCAGCTAATCGCAAATTATATCTTGAACGGACTGCAGGTCAGTTTATCTGAAAATCTGCCTGGGTTTTGGATGCAGAGGCGTGTTGTGAATGAGGCACACTGTATGAACTACACTTTTTACTCCTGGATTTCATGCCTTCAGTCTATATTTGCAGCGTCTTAGAGTTAAACCCCTTCAGATTTTCCCTCTCATCTTCCTGTCTCTATCTATGGAAATTAGGGCCACCCGAAAGCAGCCCGTACAATAGGATTTCAGACACAAAAGCAGTTTGCCTGATAGTATTTTTATTGACGTCCGTTTCTAAGCATGCCAGCCAGAAAGCAAGCTAAAAGCCATTTGCCTTTTGGCGCGTTATCTTCGTGAAAAATTATGGAGAGGGGGAGGGGGAGGAGGAAGGAGTTGCATTCAAGCAAATACATTTTGCTGTGGACGTCGAAATCAGCAACCTAGCGGCATCACTGTCTGCCTAAAATATTCCTCCCTCGTCCTATCTCCTATAGTCATATAGCTCTCTCGTCTTTTCATTGTTTTTTCATCGCTCTCTCCGTCATGTGTTCATTCCCACTCTTACCCGCATGCACAGTCCGGTCTGTGTTTACAGCTAAGGGATGAAACACCGAGACTGCATTGTAAAATGTCTTTTTGTACATGACACATAAGTCCAATCCTCCTACTCTACTATTCATCATATACACGATGGGTTAAGGGATGTACGGACAATTCCCGCTCCTACTGTCATACTGTGTTCGGCTTGTGTGTTTACAGTTAGGGGATGAAAACACAGACTGCATCCAGACATGTCTTCTTGCACATGATGCTTA